TAAGGGAGGATGACAGAGGCAGGAAGATTGAGAGACACTATTTACAAGTATGGACAAGAAAAAAAGTAGATTCAGAGCTTGAGGTGTGGCTTGAGGTGTAGATTCAGAAAACTTAAATATTTATCTGTGTTCACTCATACAATTTCAAGCACATTATATGCCCAATACTATGAATGGGTATACTAGAGTAAATAATAATAAATGACCACCTATTTTTTAAAAACAAACTCAATTTGTAGAGCTATAAATTACCTGCTATAAAATTCACCTTGTTCAATACAGTGGTTTTGCAGTAACATGCTTGTCAATCACCACAATCCAGTTTTAGAACATTATTTTCATCCTCATTGCCACCTGCAATCTTCTGTTCACAACCTCAGCTCTAGGTGACCATTAACCAATTTCTGTTTATAAATTTGCCTTCTCTACACATTTCACACAATATTGACACCTAAAATCCTACTGTATGCCTCGTTTTATTCATTCCTTAATGGACATTTGAATTGTTTCAACGCGTAAAAGCATATGCAAGGGCATGCATGTGCATCTGAGTGCATGCTGGTCCTAGGGCTTAACCTCAAGTCCTAGGCGTTGTCCCTGAGCTCTTTTACTCAAGGCTAAATGTTCTACCACTTTGAGCCACAGCGCCACTTCCAGTTTTCTGGTGGTTAATTGGAGATAAAAGTCTCACAGACTTTCCTGCCAGGGTAGATGTCTCAGCCTCCTGAGAAGCTAGGATTACAGGCCTGAACCACCAATGTCCATCTGGCTTATATTCTTTATTCTATCAATATAAATGTTAAACCAGTTTTATTAGCTATTACATTTAATTCTTACATGTTGCTGGTGTTTTTGCTAGTGTTGTCATGAAGAATGTAGATCTATAGTTTCCTTTTCTTATGATGTCTTTGTTTCACTATTAGAGTAATACTTCACCCTCCCTTTAAATAATGTAAGTGACTTTTCTTATTAATTCCTAGTTCCCAGCTTAGTTGCATGCTTCTACTTAATTGTATTTGTATCTGGACCAAGAAGAGGAGGGAAAGGGGTGTGGAGAAACAAAGAGGGCTTATTCTTAACCTTACTTTCTTGTAACTATACTGCCACAACTTAGACAAGATTTTCCTCCCCAGAGTCATGGCTTCTCTGGACACATATTTCCAACATTCTGCCTCTGCCACACAGTTTTCTTCGGGACTAACATATAGACAGAGACAGAAATACAGAGAGGAAAGAGAGAGAAGAGGCAGGGGAGAGACCGAGGAGAAATAAAGATGGAGGCAGAAACAGAAAGAGAGGAGAGAAAGGAGAGAGAAAAAGGAAGAGAAAAAGAGTAATTTCTACATTCTTCTTTTTCCTAGTCTTCAAGCCAGAACTGAGGACGTCTTTTATTTTTTTCTGTCTGTTTGGTGCTACCATGAGATCAGGCCAAGAGACACTAAAGAAGAACGATATGATAAACACACCACTGGTTTTATAGAGCTTTGAATTCATGTCTTCTTTCCTAGCTAATTTACTACAATTTGCTTTCTGGATTCCTTAAAAAGGCTTGTACTGCTGGGCACCAGTGGCTCATGCCTGTAATCCTAGCTACTCAGGAGGCTGACATCTGAGGACCTTGGTTCAAAGCCAGCCCGATTAACCAATTAATCTCCAATTAACCACCAAAAAAAGCCCGAATTGGAGATGTGGCTCAAATGGTAGAGTACTAGCACAAAAGCTCAGGGTCAGCACTAGGGCCCTGAATTCATGCCTCACAATGGGTACACACACACACACACACACAGACTAATTGGTGACATGGGCCACTGATACCCAGCTTTCACTTTTAATATATTTTAAAGAGCATCTGACCTCAAATTGAGGTAATTAGAAATAATAACTGTTCTTTTTATGGAATGAAAGATTTGGAAAGTTTAAAGAGAGAAGTTAGTCTTACTATTAATGATCCGTCATCAAGCATAGACAATAAAACTATAGAGTTGAACTTCACAAATCAGTTTCTTCATGTGGTAGACAGAACCAGACATTCACTCCACTCATAGCCAGGACATTTGCCATTTGGAAAATAACAGCAGTCTTTTCCTTTGCTTTTTCTGAAATTGTCTGGCAGTGAAATCCTCCCAGTAAGGTTTTAACTAAGCTGAGCCAAAAGAAATTATCTGGAACAGAGAAAAGATACTGTTTGTTCTTAGAAATCTTTTGCCTCTGTCCTTCAAATTGGATACTTTCTGTTTATTTGTCTTCAAGTATACTCTTTTTTGCCATATCAATTCTTTCTATTGAATATATATTTTTCATAAGTTTTTCTACTACTAAAATTTCAATTTTAAATAGTTTCAATTTTCCTGTTGAAACTAAAACCTATTTTGTCATTTATTTCAAGACTATTTACATTTCCTTTATGAGCTATTGCTATAATTGCTGGTTTAAAATCCTTATTCCATCTGGGATATCTCAATATTGGAATATTGAGAGTCTGTGGTCATATTTTTTTGTCTTTTTAAGTTGCATTTTGGGGGGTAATGGAAATTTTGAATATTATGTTTTTAAGGTTTTGGATTTGAGTTCTCTAGAAAAGGCTGAACATTTTTTATTTTGCTTCCTTGAAACCTGGTTAGGCTTCAACTTCTGGAGGCATCTTTTTTTTTTTTAAATCATGGTAGTAGTCCCCATGTCAGTTCAGTTTATAAGGCTGGACCATCCCCTTTGAGTCTTTTGGGTTTTTTTAATCATCATAGTGGTCCCCATGTCAGTTCAGTCTATAAAGCTGGGCCATCCCCTCTGAGTCTGCCCCATGCCTACATCATTCAAGGTTTATTCTGGTAGTCTAGGACTTGGGCAATGGTGTATAGTGTTCAAATCCTTTGCTCTGTTGTTTTGAGCCTTTTCTGTTCATGTGAATCTAGGACTTTGATTCATTCATAGCAAGAATAAAAGACATCATTTCTCCACTTATTTCCTCTGAGATTTACAGATTTATTTAATCATAATACTGCTTTATATGATGATAACTGAAATGCTATAGAGGAGCTTGTGCTGGCTTTAACAGTGTCCCTTCCCTGCCATCCCAATTCTACTCCCTAGAAGCAATTTCTATGAAATATTTACTTTTAAGTTTTTCTACTCAAACTCTTCTATTTCTCTATTTGATGTTTTTTTACATTTAAACAATAAATATATTTTATGTTTAAACATACTCAGTTTTTCTCAGTATTCCTTTTCTTGTTTCTAATAGTGTATATATTATTTGTTTTGTTAATTTCATCTTTAGTATTTAATATATGTAAGCCTATATTCTTAGACCTGTCAAGTTTCATAGTCTTTTTCAGTTCCTGACTCTACATGGTGGAGAACTCTGTAAAGTACTTTTATTTTTCTTTTCTTTCAACCCCACCTGCTCATCACAGAGCTGGGGAACTTTTACCTGCCAAAGGCTATTTGGATATTTGTAGCTTCATTCAAGGACCATACAAAATTATCAATACAGGCAGATGGCTGTGAGCAGCTGATGAGAAGAATATATGTCTGTCCAATCATATACTGACTGATTTTGAGGACCTTACACAGCCCATGGGCTGGATGTTGCCCACCCCTCACTGTCACAGAACACTGTGCTGGTGTTGTGTTCCTTCCAAAAGTTCATTGTATATATTTGAATTTTTAGCAACTACTAAATAGTGTTTGCATTATTATAATTGAGTAAATATTGTGGGCAAATCATAAGTTAGAAGTACATAGTACTCTTGAAGGCTTTATGTTGTATGTAGGCCAACTAACTAAAACCTGTCAAGAACATCAACAAAAAAGGATTTCTTTAACTTTTCTCCCTTGGTATTTTAAATTATGCTTCAATTTTGTTTTGGTTTTGAAGTATGATTATCTATCTATCTATGCATGCTTTTATACATGTGTGTATTTCTAGGAATTATTTTGAGGTATTGAATTGTGCATATCCTACACCCTATTTGTAGGATTTCTATTTCCTTCTTAGTCCTGGGAGACTTCTGCAGTTTATGGTCTACATACAAATATCATCTTGAGGTTTCTCATCTCTGCTTTATTTTGATGAATCCAATGCTTCCTAGAGTTTGTATATTTCTCTTTCATGCTTTAATCTTACATTTTTCTGGAGTTATGTTTTCAATTAACCTTCTAAGACATGATGATTGGGAAGGGAAAATCTCAGACTAGGAATAGCAGAAATCTCTTCATTTTGTCCTTTAATTTGATTGATAGTTTGCTGGGGTTTAGAATTCTGGGTCAAAAATTTTGTTGAGAACTGTGAAAGCACTACCCATTGTCTTCTAGCATCTACTGTTCTCTCGACCAGGAGGTAAGAAAAACAAGAAGAACCCATCCATTAGCCAACCTTTCTCTATCACTGTGGTTGTAAAAAGGAGGTTTCTTGTCCTGAAGAGATGGAGTAGGATATTGCAATTCTGTATATTGCTGTGCTTCCCATACTTGTCTCTCTCAAAGCTTATTGATAACTGACTTTCCTGTTGAAAGACCCATTTGCTTCTCACAGTTTTAGCAAAGCAGCAACACAGGTCATAGTTCTGAGACTCTTTTTTGTTTGTTTGCTTTTTGGGGTCCGGTCGTGGGGCTTGAACTCTGGGCCCTGGTACTGTCCCTCAGCTCTTCAGCTCAAGGCTAGCGCTGTACCACTTGAGCCACAGCACCACTTCCAGCTTTTTTCTTTTTGCTTATATGGTGCTGAGGAATCGAACCCAGGGCCTCAGACATGCAAAGCAAGCACTCTACCACTGAGCCACCTTCCCAGCCCCGGTTCTGAGACTCTTATCTCCAAATAACCACCAGAGAACTGAAAGTGGTGTTGTGGCTCAAAGTGGTAGAGTGCTAGCCTTGAAAGAAAAATCTCAGGGACAGAACCCAGTCCCTGAATTCAAGTCCCATGACCAACCAAAAAAGAAAAAAAGGAATTTTTACTATGTGCATGGATTGTCTCTCATCAGTGATTACTCTGTCTTTTTCAGCAACAGAAATTGCAAGGAAATTCAACAAAGAAAAGCAAACCAAAAAAAGTTGATCCACTCAAAGGCCACAAGGTCATTGCAAGATGTGACGAAAATGGTTTTTATTTTCCAGGTAGATTTTTATTTAATTTTGTGAGATTCACTTGTTTCTTTACACACACACACATACACACACACACACACACACACACACACACACACACACACACAATAGATAGACAGATAGATAGATAGGCAGATAGATATTGTCTTTATAGAGGTTACATATTACAAAGAAAGATAGATAAGCAACCAAATAAATAAGTACAACTATGTAGTATGTCAGATAGAGTACAATAAGGAAAAATCAAGCCACAAAAGAGATGAGAATGTCAAGGTGAAAGTTGTAATTATAAATATATGATAGTGGGCTGGGAAGGTGGCTCAGTGGTAGAGCGCTTGCCTTGCATGTCTGAGGCCCTGGGTTCGATTCCTCAGTACCACATAAGCAAAAAGAAAAAAGCCGGAAGTGGTGCTGTGGCTCAAATGGTAGAGCACTAGCTTTGAGCTGAAGAGCTGAGGGACAGCGCCCAGGCCCAGAGTTCAGGCCCCACAACCGGACCCCCCAAAATAAATAAATAAAAATAAATAAATAAATATATGATAGTTAAGAAAAAGCTTGTGGGGAATGTGACATCTAAATAAGGACTTAAAGAAGGAGCTGGCACATCTTGAGATTATCTAGGGGAAGAGAAATTTTAAGTCTAGAGAACAGCAGTGCTAAGGTCTGAGTCTGGAATTCACTTGGCATGTTGGAGAAAGAGCAAGCAGGCCAGTCTGGCTAAACCTGAAAGGTTTGGCCAAAAGTCCTGGGGTATGTTGTTCCTGAAGGAATCAGCTAGGTACAGTTCAGCAGGAAACAGAAATATGAAAGGAACTTTGTAGGTAATGAAAATAATATGTGTAAAATATCTTTATTCAGGTCAACAAATAATATAAATAAAAATAGAAAATAATAAAGCTCTTCAGAGAGATAAGCATGGGGTCACTCATAACAGGTCACATTAAGATGTTCAAACTTTAGCTTCAGGGTATTAGGAAGCCACATTTAAAGCAGGTTTACACTAGAGTAAAGCTGGCCTGGTTGGCTACTGCTGCCAACTGTGGCATCTTGGCAGCAGTTTCCATGTGATCACATCTTTTACAAGGATAAGTGTAAATTACCTAGGGACACTGCCTTATCTGAAATGGAAGTGACAAGTTGATCATTAGCCTGACTTGCTGACAGGTGCAAAGAAAGATACATTTCAAAACTTGATCAGATTACATAGTAAGAATGGGTTTTCCTTCCTGTTGTTCAGTGACAAGAAGCACTTTAAATCAGGAAACTCATGGTGACTTCTACCCTATGCCATAGGATGGGAGGAAAAGGAAGAACTGAATCTCTCCAAGTATTAGGATTTAGGATCAAAAAGCCTAAATTTTCATTTACATGAATTCTACCTCTTATCTTCACTAGCCATTTGATAGAAGTCACCTGTTTTTTTGTAATTTCATTTTTCCTTGTCTTCCCAAATAGAATTGAAAACTATTAGAACCTTCATAAGATTTCTGATCAGATACACTGACCAGTACAATACAGTACTTGATCACATATAGCTTTGGGACATCAATTCCTGGGATGTGTGGGTGGGCACTGTTGTTACATTCTCAGCAGCTAAAAACCATTAAGTGTCTGGTGCCAATGGTTTACGCCTTTATTCCTAGCTACTCAAGAGGCTGAGATCTGAGGGTTGAAGTGCAAAGCCAGTCTGGACCAGAAAGTCCAGGAGACTCTTACCTCTAATTAGCAACTAAAAGGCAGGAAATGGAGCTTTTCTCAAGTGGTAGAGCACCAACCTTGAGTGAAAAAGCTAATGGACAGTGTCCAGGCCCTGAATTAAGCCCCAGTACTGACAAAACAACAACAACAAAACCCTTAACAGAAAAAATTAGCCCAATGGCTCACAAACCAAACCTCTAAACCTAAAGAGAACATGGCAACACAGGTGTATGATGACACTGCAGTAGAGATGGACAGGTGGAAGGATGCTGTGCCCGGAACAATTCTGAGAATTTGGATTTAAATTGGGCTATGAATATTGAAAAATGCTTAGAGCAAGAGTAAAATAAAACCCAGTCCCCTAGCCTGAAACTGCTGCTTGGAACAAAGATTCAGAGCTATGCATGTACCTTTCACCAAACAACATGACATAGCAGCTTGACTATGTTCCAATCTCCTGACCACTAAGTATGAGCAACACTTTTACTGATGTTTCAAAGGAAGTGTTTTCCTCAGCTGACTACAGGGAAGCCTCTGGCTGAGCAAGAGAGTGAACTCCTATGCAGGAAGGTGCCTGGGCTTGCTGGCCTCTACTAGAGGTAAGAAGGGAACACAGCAAAGGCTCTTCTGCTTGTCACTCGCCCCAGCCCAGGCCTAAAACAGTTCTCAGAGGGATTTCAGAGCTAGGAACATGGGCTTACCTCTCTGGCACTGAGCTCAGAAAGAACCAGTGTGAGGGAAGATGAACATTCGAGCTGAACTTGAACCGTACATAAGAAATTATAGAAAACCCTTTGTCCTGTAGATCCCCAGAGTACAGTCAGCAAGAAGCCAAGTGAGAGTGGGGTATTTTTTGTGATATTAGGATTTGAACTCTACCACTTGGGCCATACCTTCCAACAGTGTTTGCTTCAGTTATGTTTTAAATGTAGGGTCTTGTATTTATGCCCAGACTGCCCTGGACTACAGCCCTCCTAGTTAAGATTTCCATGTTACTGAAATGACAGAGGTGTACCACTGCAGCTATGGGTTAAAAGAAAGCCCAGGCTGGCTCAAACTGTGATTCTTTAAGTCTCAGCCACACAAGTAGCTATGATTGCAGAGGTCAGCCACTGTACCAGCTCAAGGCTGGTTTTGAAGATACATTGTAAGATGCTACAGAACTGAAAGAAAATTAGGTCATTATAACATACCAAAAATCTAGATCCAAGGATGTAGAGCAGAAATAGGAGGAATTTTGTGTAAAGGAAGGAAGAGAGGGAGAGAGGGAGAAAAAGGAAGAAAGGGAGAGAGAAAGGGAGGGAAGGATGAAAGAAGGAAGGGCAAATTTGGGCTTTGTGAGCCATATAGCCTCTGTCACAACTTTGTAGCTTAGGCAAATGACTGAAAGCATATTAAACACTAGACACTGTTAAATCCTCAAGGCTAAGAATTCGAGGAAGCTGCAAAGGCCTATGTGAACATCTTAGCCTCCCAGATTCTGAGTGAGGGGTTCAGGGCTCAAAGAGATGTGGGTTGTAAAGACTCCTCTCCTTCTCAGTTAAAAGATTTTTTTTTGCACCTCACCCCAGTTAGATGGCTATAATCCAGAAATCTAATAACAGATGCTGGAGGGGATTTGGCCAAAAGGGAACCCTACTACATTGTTGGTAGGAGTGTAAACTTGTTCAACCACTTTGGAAAGCAGTATGGAGGTTCCTCAAAAGACTCCACATAGAGCCTCCCCTATGACCCAGCATAGGGCATTTACCCAAACGATCACAAACAAGGCTATACTAAAGCTCCCAGCACAACTATGTTTATCACAGTATTATTTAGCATAGCTAAGATATAGAACCAACCCAGATGCCCCTCAGTAGATGAATGGATCAAGAAAATGTGAGATATATATATATATAAGTAATATATATTCCATTATTTTTTTTAAATTTTATTTTATTTTATTTGTGAACATACTGTACAGAGGGGTTACAATTGCATGGGCAGGATAATGCGTACATTTCTTACCAAGCATTGCAGCCTCCTCCTTTGTTTACCCTTCCCATCCCTTCCCAGCCTCCCCCCTCCCCCCCATCCCAATCCTTCTCCTTCCCCCCTCCCCCCCACCCCCTTCCCCCACCCCCACCCCCGCACCGACGTTGTAAAGCTCGTTTTGGACATGACAACTTGTACTTTGCATCAGATCCACCTGTATCCTTAAACAACTGGTTCTTCCCCATCTCCTCCACAAGTTATACTGACATCAAATATAGTGAAAGCAGGGGTTATCCTGTCTGAGACGTACAAAACACTCTGCTGAAAATGAACTTTACAACTTTGGCAGAGAGGGGTGGTATAGTTGTGATGGTCGGAGGGAAGGGATGGTAGGGGGAAAACAAAAGAGGAGGCAACAATGCTCAATAGGAAATGTACTCATTTCCTTGCTCATGTAACTGTAACCCCTCTGTACAGCATTTTTACAAATAAAAAATACAAAAAAAAAGGAAACGAACTTTACAACTTTGGCGGGGGGTGGAGTAGGAGGAGGCAACAATGCTCGATAGGAAATGTACTCATTACTTTGCTCATGTAACTGTAACCCCTCTGTATAGTATTTTTTTACAATAAACAACATACAAAAAATTTAAAAAAAGATTTTTAAAATTTTCATAGCAGAAACTCAAACGGTAACATTGATTTTATTAATATTAAAACGGTAACTAACATCATTTTATGGTAGAAAATATGTGAATAATGTGTAAAGACTTCAAAATCCAAATTAAACACTTTAGTGGAAAGTGGAAAGTTGGCTTTTGTATGTGTGTTGCAAAAAAATTTTTTTCCACCACATTAGTCATTTAAAACAACAGACAATGGAGCAACATGAAAATCAACAGCTGCCTCTTTGCCACATAAAAGGATTCGGGGCTTTGCCAAGCAAATGTGTGAGCCAGGGAGTGCATATCTGTCTCTGAGTGGGAGTCAGCAAGCAGCTGTCACTGTCCCGGAAGTGTCCAGTGTCAAAATTTCCCATTAATTGGATTTAAAATTTAGACTGACAAAGAATGGAATCTTAACATGTTGGATATTTACTTTTCCTGAATTTATTATAGTAGACTATATATAATTATATAAGTTATATTATATATATATATATATATATATTAATTGATCTGGAGATTTAGCTCCAAATGTATATACAATATCAATTAGATTATCAAAACCTTGTATAATCAAAGAAAAATTATATATTAAGTCTCTGAGTTATAAAACCAAAAGACAAGACAAGCGTCTTCTTTCTTTTTTTCATTTTGGTCATATATTTTACAAATATATGACCTAATTACTTTTTCATTTATCCAGTACTCAGTATTAGATCTGAAACATATCAGCTGCTTTGGGTGGGAGTTCCTTTTTTCTTTTTATTCCACAATTTTTTTAAAAAATCCACCACCTAATTTGTCTTTACAGGAAGAAATAGGACTAAAATGATTAGTGGAGAGTAAAGGGGGAGATCTCAGTTTCTCAGAATTAGTGTTCCCTCTGGATTGAGGCTGGTGATACTGAGGACAAGCTCCCTGCATTCTCTTGGCTTCCTCTAGGGGGCTTCAGACAAGAGCTTCCACTACACCATTCTGCATTGTTTAACCCCAGTTGGCATCAGACTAAATCCAACATTATTTCTTAGAGAAATCAAAAGATTATGCTGATTTAAACAGAGTGCTAGAACTCAACACAGATGTTAGGATAGGCCAAGGCTAAAGGAGCAGGCATTATTGTGTTTTTTAAAAAACCTATCTTATTGTAAAGATACTGTACAAAGGGGTTGGGCGCTATCCTTCAGCTCTTCAGCTCTTCAGCTCAAGGCTCTACCACTTGAGCCACAGCGCCACTTCCAGTTTTCTAGTGCTTTATTGGAGACAAGAGTCTCACAGACTTTCCTGCCCAGGCTGGCTTTGAACTGTGATCCTCAGATCTCAGCCTCCTGAATAGCTAGGATTACAGGCATGAGCCACTGGTGCCCAGCACATTATTGTCTTTATATTTTATGTTTTCTTTGATTCTTGTCAGGGGTTGTGAAGAAGTGTCTGAGTTCTAGCCATGCACTGGTGGAGTACAGGTATGGAGACACCAAGATTGTGCCTATCTGCTTTATCACACCTATTGGAGGTGCCATGCCTTGTCCACCTCTGCAGGTATTTGCTGGGACCTCCCCCCTTTTTTTAACCACTCATGGGGTTTGGGATACAGAGGATGACAGGGCCACTATGTGGCCCTTTTTGAACCCAAATAGCCTCCTATAGAGAGAGTCCGTGCCCAGATTTCTGGGCCCCATCACCTAGCCATTTATTTGCTCATGACTGATCCACCACCTACCTATTTTAAGCAGATTGACTTATTTGTGGCACTTGTCACTTTACAAGACAATAAAGGGTTAGGGGAAAGGAGTTGCTTTCCCTTCTGATGCTCTTGAATACTAACTGTAAAAGATCACCTGATATTATACAGAATAACAAGGATACAGGTAGTATTTCCCTTGACATTGTAGTCAGTTGACATTAGACTGTGATACCATAACACACAGTTTCCTGGCGTGCACTCCACACAGATGAATCAGACTAATGTGTTTTCATCTGCCAAAAAAATTCAGAAAAGCCATACTATCCCTGGCACATCCTCCTGTCACTGTTGTGGCATGGAGGCCAGGGAGTAGAGAGAAAGCCCTACAAAGCATCACTGCTATGTTTCTTGCATAGTGTGAGTCAGGAGAAATCAGAAGAATTAGCCTTGGTCATACGTTCCCCTGTTCACAGCCAGATCTATGGTACACCTCGGTGCACTCTTCCCTGTGACTGACAAATACCCAGCAGGCCTTGTTCTCCCCTTTGCAGGATTCTCTTTCTGCTACATGTCACTTTTAGCCATAGAATCTAGGTTTGGAGCAACATCAACCAAATTTGCTCCTTTCCTCTGTCTGGAATGACAGTCTTCTGACATATGAGGATACTGTTCATGTCCCTTTATATCAAATATCCTAGGCAATTTCTTCAATCCAGTCCCATTAGTCATTGTGGGATGGCTTTCAGAACCCTAACCCTCTTGCTGGCTGTCCCTTGGACCCTTCTCAGTTGTCAAAGTCCTACCAAAATGAGGCCTCCCCAAACTGATCAGAGAATTCCAAGTGTAGGATAGAATTCCAAGTGTGGGACTTGGCTGTGTGGTCCTCAAGTGGAAAAGCCTAATAAGCACAAGGCCCTGAGTTCAAGTACTAGTACTTTAAAAAAAAGAGGGGGAGTAGAAAAGGAGAGGGGGGAGAAGAAGAGGGAGGAAGGAGAAAGAATGGGAAAAGAAATAAAAGGGAAAGAAAAACCAAAAAATACTAAAAAAGAAAATTTCAGGTGTAACCCAAAGAATTCTGGAACTCTTATCTGAGAATAAATATATTTGAATTTTAGCATCCACACTTGCCAGTCTTTGGGGGTTTCTAAAACAATCTTATGCTAACATTTTCTATGAGACAGATAAGCAAAATGTTTGCTATGAAACATGTTCTCTTTTACAGGTTGGGGATTACGTGTTTGCCAAAATTGTGATACCTGAAGGATTTGACTTCTATGTTCCTGCCATTGTCATAGCACTTCCAAAACAGAATTTGCCCTTGGATAAATTCTACACAGTTTTGAAGTGTAACAATCGTAGAGTAAGTAGGCCTTTAAAAAAAGGTATTCCCCCTGGTCAGAAAATGGCTTTTGGGCTGAGAATGTGGCTTAATGGAAGAGTGCTTGCCTCGCATGCATGAACTCCTGGGTTTGATACCTCAGAACCACATGCACAGAAAAAGCCAGAAGTGGTGCTATGGCTGAAGTGGTAGAGTGCTAGCCTTGAGCAAAGGAAGCTCAAGGACAGTGCCTGGGCCCTGAATTCAAGCCTCAGGACTGGAAGAAAGCAAGAAAGCAGGAAGACAGGAAGGCAGGAAAGGAGGAAGGGAGGGAGGAAGGGAGGGAGGGAGGGAGAGAGAGAGGGAGGGAGGGAGGGAGGGAGAGGAGAGGAGAGAGAAAGAAAGAAAAAGAGAAGAAAGAAAGAAA